GAAGGTGCTGTGCATAACAAGGCGGGGATCGCGTTACGTAACTTGGATTTTTTTTCTCTCCCTCGCAGTCGTTTGAAGTCCTAAGTCTTGCGTGCTGCGCTCTAATGAGAGCTTAACTCGGCGATGTGTTGTGACGGCACTGGCATTTCATCACTCGGCCACCACGGGGCTCAGTCATTGTTCTGTTTTTCTGTTCCCTCCTGTCGGCTCACGAGTGACAATGGGGCAGAATTAATTTGTCCTTGTACTCGAGTGTGGATTCCGATTTGCGGTGTCGTTTCTGTGTCCGTTCGCGTAAAGTGCCCAGACTATTTTCGCTTTTCTTCGTGAACTTTCCTGTAAAAAAAAAAGCGTCGATTCTTGTCGTAAATGCAGGTCGTTGTTTATTTGTTCTTATATTACTGTCTGCAGTTTTGAGACCCCGAGGATTCTCGTCATCTCAGCAGATTACTTTTATTTGTCAGCATTCATCATCGTCCTGCACCCTGATCCGTGTATAAGTATTTGTGATCACTGTTGTCTTGTTGAAGCATATTTCCTAGTCAGATTCCAACCACTTGGGAATTCACTAATTACCGACCGTAAGAAACATCCATTCACTCATGAATCTGAAGTTCCTTCATAGATGTAGATGTCATAAATAATATCATCGGCTGGGGAAACTAAAGCTCAAATCTGTAAGGATTGTACGTAAACGTTTCTGGTTAATGATTGTGTTTGCTTAGTTAAATTATCGTTATTTTTGTTCGTAAAAGAATGGTCTTTTATTTTTTATGTTTTAAACCGGTTCTCTATTCCTGTAACATGTACAGCACAGACCGATATTCGCTGTTTGTATCACGACCTATGTAACCGAGATTGTGTCACTAAGATCTGTGCTGTACGACATTAATACTATCGCAGGATGCTCATGAAATCAAGCATAGCAGCTCATTGGGCCCTTGCTGCTGAAATGAATAAAATCAGTTAAATCTGAAATCACTCGTAAACATTTAATTGTATGGCCAATTAGTCATTTTTTGTTAATAAAAATTTTCATTTATTTGATTAAAAAAATGTCTTAACATGACATTTTGGGAAATGTTAATGTGGATAAATATTTTGTGTTATAATGTTTTTCTTTTGTTTGTTATTCATTAAATTGTGTTGTCTATAGCCCGACATGCGAAACATTAACTCCCATCTGTCCCTCGTGAATAATCATAGTTGAGTTCACTTTCATTCTCGGAGTCACACTTCTCTCGACTAGGGTAGCATCCTGTCACATGCCCTGTTTCTATCAACATTGGGTTAAAAAAAAACATCTAAAAATAATTAGTTTTTTTTAACATGTGTAATGTAGCACTCGGAGACACTGTCTTGTTCAAGTATGTTTTTCTATATTGATTGTCTATTATGGTCTGCCTGACTCGATCGCATGTTAACGCAGAGACACAAGTTGACTGTGTACAGTGGGTGACTTCATGTAACTGATACATGACATTCGCATATATAGCTGGCTGACTATATTGTAGCCGATGGATGAGCAGCTACGGCGACGATCTATAATCTCCCTCTAGTCTTCCAAGACGATAAGGCGACCTGCTCCCAGACGGTGAGGACGATCCACTCCCAAGGTGACGACAGCGACGACGGTCCAACCTCGATTCCCCACAGCAGCCATGAGCCCTGCTCCGCGCTGCCTTTTATCTCCCCCTCTGGCTCAGCCACGCCCCTCGACTCAGCCACGCCCCTCGACTCAGCCACGCCCCTCGACTCAGCCACGCCCCTCGACTCAGCCACGCCCCTCGACTCAGCCCCCCCCTCGACTCAGCCACGCCCCTCGACTCAGCCACGCCCCTCGACTCAGCCCCGCCCCTCGACTCAGCCACGCCCCTCGACTCAGCCACGCCCCTCGACTCAGCCACGCCCCTCGACTCAGCCACGCCCCTCGACTCAGCCACGCCCCTTGACTCAGCCACGCCCCTCGACTCAGCCACGCCCCTCGACTCAGCCACGCCCCTCGACTCAGCCACGCCCCTCGACTCAGCCACGCCCCTCGACTCAGCCACGCCCCTCGACTCAGCCACGCCCCTCGACTCAGCCACGCCCCTCGACTCAGCCCCGCCCCTCGACTCAGCCACGCCCCTCGACTCAGCCACGCCCCTAGACTCAGCCACGCCCCTCGACTCAGCCACGCCCCTCGACTCAGCCACGCCCGTTTTCCCCGAACTCTCTCTCGCCTCATTTGACCCTGCCTGTCCCTGTCGCTTAAATTATTATTTACGGCCACTAGGTCTGTCCTTACACATGTATCTGTGTAGGTATATTATGAGGTATGGGGTGAAGCTTGTGGGGAAATGATAATAATTAACATTTATAAAGCACCCTTAAACAATCGTTCTCGGGGCGCTATAATGGCAAGGCAAAAAATAGTTAACAACCAAGTCAAGAAGTGAGAAAGATGGTTGAAAATAACTAAAGAGATAACTCTGACAGCCAAACTCCTCCCCCCCCCCGCCTCCCGTGCCTATATAAAGCCACAACAGCAGATCATTTTTCTCACCTGAAGACGGCCGCTTGTGTTGCGACCGAAACGTCGTGTTTTCTTTCATTATTTTTTCTATCTACGTGACTTTACCTACGTGACTTTACCGAAAAAAAAACCTAAGAGTATGAATCCTGCAGTCACGAAAGCTTCAAATCAAGAGATAAAGCCATTTTAAACATATGCGTTTTTAGTCGTGATTTGAAGATTTTTTTTAAGTGTCCCGGAAGTCCTGACCTCAAAAGGCAAGGAGTTCCAGAGTTTGGGTACCGCAATTGCAAAGGCAATAATCACCCCAAGTGAGAAGCCGAGACCGTGGGACAGTTAGCAATGCACACTGTCCACGGTTCATAGCATGGTGTGATTCACACACCGTGCTATGAACCTGGGGACCTGAACTTGAATCCCGGCCACGGCTATATCATTAATGCCGAGCAGTATTTGAATGGTCCTGGTCCCCCTTCCACAAATCTGCATGAATCTGCACGAATCTGACATGATGTGGGGAGGCTTTCATCCAGCAGTGGATTGACAAAGGGCTGTACATCTATTCAATTATGTATCATTGAGATGGATTATGAGTCTCCAAACTGGGCGTTGCCAATTTGTGATCAATTTAATTTAAAAAAATGGTCCAGTCATACATGACCAGGATGAGCTTAATAATGCACTTCACCTGAGAACGTTATGTATTTGCGGTTTGCCGTCTGGAATCAAACCGTGACTCTGATCGACGTTGGCAAAGTGCTCTCGCCATGGCCATTATGAGACTCCCCATGAGCCACCCAATCCCCTACTTTCCTGTGACTCTTGGTGTCTGTTGAGTTTACGGGGGGCCAAAACAAACTCTAAACAAATATAAAAAAAAACGCTATGCAAAATGAGTAACAGTACGATCTGCTTTTTATCCATCGTGCATTCTGCTCTCATCCCTTCTGGATACGGGGAAAGGCTGCGACATCCGTCGCTTTAGTTTTGCTTGTTTTTGACTTTACTATAAGTATTTGTATGGGGAAGGGGCAGAGCCTTCAGCAAGGGAGGGTTGGTATTTTTATTATTTTATTATTTCCCTTCTACGTGACTTTACCGAAAGAACCAAGAAGATGAATCCCTGCAGTCACGAAAGCTTTAAATCGAAATTTAAGGGAGGGTTGCTTTTGGCACCTCCAGCCTCGATCTCTCCACCCCCCCATCGCTATGGAGCTGGTGGGAACACCGCCTTGCGGGAACAAAAGCACTCGCTCTGGAACACAACTTTGGTCGCTGGTATATCAGCCATTGTGAATTTGTGAATCGAAGAGTGTCCTTGGTGTCCGTTTACATCGCGCAACGCGCTTGCCGGACCGCTTAACAACAACATTTGAGCTGCATGTATTGTGTTTCGGGTGCGCGGTGTGTGTGTGTGTGTGTTTGCATGTCCCCGGCATTAATTGATGGAGAGATAGACGTTTAGTGTGCTCGCGCAATCCATATTCACCACGCGCGTGTTTGTGTTATTCATATTTTTGCCGACTGACACTAAAAGTAAACATGTTTTTAAGCAGTGACGTAGCTATCAAAGTGTGCAGGTGGCGCAGCTGTGCCAAGCCCTATAGGGGGCCCAGGCTCCCCTGTCCATTGCAGTGGGTGTAATGGACAGGTGGCCTCATACCCCACCACGTCATGCCAGTGTTTTTTGAGAGAATAAAAGGCAAAATATATTCAGTGAATCGACTCTTGTTCTTCTCAGATGACCTTACAAACTGTGGCCCTTGGCTTTGTGAAAACTCACAAAGGTTTCCTTTCCCCTGGTTTTCACCACCGCCACCTGTCTTACAGAGCTGCCCACCTTGGCTGTGCCGGTTTTGTTGTGCCGATGTGCATGCGATCTCACACTCGCCTCCTCCTCCGAGTGCACAAAGACAAAGATCCCCCATGTAGCCTTAACAAACGGTTGGGGCAAGTGCTATTCGCGAAAACCTATGAAGGCCTACTCAGCACGAGGCAGGTGATTGGCCAGCACCACGCCCGGTCACCTTTGTCTCCCTCGTGGCGATGTTTACACACCGCACCGTGTACTCATTTAAGTCCGAGTCGACCTCGAGGAGGCCCGGTACTGGTTCAGATAATTGTCACTGGTGTTGGACGTAATTGGCAATCGAACCTGGGCCACTGGGTTTGTAGGGTAGTGCTCTTACAGCAACATGATCCTCCCCTCCATGTACACATCGGCATGCACAGTTGTGTCTCCCTGCATTTCTCCATGTGACCAAATTTCTTTAATTGTGCTTGAGGAGTGTGCGTTCTGGTAAGTGCTTATTTGGATGGTGACCTCCAGTGCACACCCAGTGTCATGGGCGGATGCACCACCGGCCAACCGTCTGTCGGCTAAGCTGTAACACGGCGATCCGTCAATTTCACGGTGCCTAGAAAGAGCACCTTAGCTTGGCACATTCACAATGGTGACATCACTTCCACACTTCGTGGTGAATAGCGGCCGTCGCTGTTGCTGCAGTCAGAGAGGTGTGCGGGGGCCTCAGCTCCGCTGGCAAGAGGAGAAGAAGAGGACCTGGGCCGGGCCCTGTCCCGGGATCGCTCCTTCGATAACATCATCAGCGACGCGCACGCCACCCTGTCCGACGACGTGAGGAGGAACTTCAACGAGGACGACTACCAGTGTAGGCGACTCCGCACTCGGCAATGTGCCGCACAGACCAGAAATCGGACAGCGAGCTCCACGTTTAATACGTAGGGTTTTGCGACCAATATTGCCCACGATGCTTTTATACAGCATTTGGAGATATGGCTGAATGTAGATACAATATAAATCCAAAATATTTTGCATTGTTTACAGAAAAACCTCAACGTAACATTGTTCAAGGGACAGGAGCCAAATTTAAGGTTAGATGTGGAAAACTTTAAATCGGAGCACTGACTGTAATTGCCTCAATGGAATACAGTAAAATGCACAACAATATAACAATGTTTCACTGTATTTACCATTGCTTAAGTGAACTCAAAATATACTCTGTCGCAGCATTAAGTGTACATTGGACTTTCTCATCTTTCTGGGTCTATGATATTCCTTAATTGTTTTTCTCCATGCTCCCTCGTCCCCCCACTTACCCCGCAGACCACCGCCACTCGTCTCACAACATCCACAAGGCGTTCTCCTCGCACCTCCCCGCCCTCTCGTCTCACCGACGCAAGGGCCATGGGGCGCCCAAGGGGGCGGCCGCTGCTGGTAAGGCAGCACAGCGACGCGGCAAGGCCCGGTCGCCCGACACCCCCACCATCGCCGAGGGTCAGGAGGCGGACGCGGCCAGCCCCGCGGGGGCGACGGAGGCGCAGGGGACGGATGTCGCGATGGAGATCCCCGGGGACGCGGAGCGAGGGGAACGGGACGCCCATCTTGAGCAGGAGTGCGAGCGCAAGGAGGGCGACGGCTCCAAGGACGCGTCTTCTCCCGTCACCGTACGTTTCCCGATCGAGCCGTGTCGCCACGAAGTTGTAGCCTGGCCATTCTGCCGGTGGTGTGAAGTGGCCGCGCGTTGCTTTTGTCTCGCCCGTAGTTCAGCCTAGGCGATGACGAGGAGGAGGGTATTGGTGCGGCTTGTGGAGTCGCCCGGAAGGAGGAATCTCCAGAAGACGATGGGGAAAAACGCCGGCGACCATCACCCCAGCGAGCAAACGAAGAGCATGAGGGGTGAGCAGAGTGGAGATGATAGCCACGACCTCCGAGTGTAAATTATAACTCGGTCTACCCCCCTTCACGCCTTTGCTAGTCTGGCAGTTACCAAAAAATGTTTTGACCTTAATGAACAAGGAAGCACAAGTTCCACCTGAGGCCCTACTATTCTCTTTTAAAAAATGTAACAGACCGTTAAATGTGAGTTTTTTTGCACTTTGTCATTAAGATGCATAAATATAACTAAACTTGAGTAAAAAAACACTTCATGTGTGTGTGTGCGCATTGCTTCTAATGGGTTTCTTTGGTGAAGCTTGGAGAGGTGAGGTGAGGTGCTGCCTGCTGACACTTTCTAGATTATGCTCGTGCGATGAGTTGCTATGCCCATTGTGTGCCCCGCAGATGTAAACCTTGCTATTACTGTGGCCTCAAGAGTAAGAGGCCAAGTAAGATGAGGAGAAATTGGTCCGAGACACGCGCATAACGATAGCTGCTTCTCAAATATTTATGAGCTTTGCACGGGAGAGAGCGCGTTACCGTTATGAATGGGGCCCGGTGTTTTGTGCCTCACGTGTATGATGGAGTATTAGGTGCATTGCGTTGCGTCTGTTTTGACTTCAAGCGGAAGAAGAACAGAGAGGTACGCCGTTAGTCCGCTAACTACGTGGCCTTGTCGACTGTGTAGGTTCTTGCGGCCGTGCCGTATAGCTCGCCGACGTGTTTTCGGGCTGTACCCCGCATGCCTGATTTGACACGACGTCCGACATCTTGATCCACGTACTGGGAGCTCCTTCAGTTTCTAAAGAATCTCCCAACACGTGGCATGTTGTCCGAGGAACTTGCTTCGCGTGCCCGGAACTTCTCCCCGCGCTTGGGGAGCTTCTGCAGTTCTCCAGTTCCACTACGTGCCGCACAACGCGCATGGGTCGGTACAACCTGAAAACGCATCGGAGATCTGCGCTTGACGTCGTCTTTTACACGGCACTGGTTTTTTGTTCCATGGCGGCGGTGCAGCGAGCGGACACGGGCGGGGCATGGCGCGTGCCGCGCGGCGGTACCGCCGTCGTCGTCGTCGGCGGTGGCGGCCCACGGCTACAGCCTGAGCTCGCGACGCCGCATCGGCAGCATGACGGACACGGGCAGCGCGCTGTACGCTCGCGTGCCCACCGACGAGACGGAGGCCAGCACCCTCGGCAACGCGCACCTGGAGCACATGAAGAGTGAGTGGCGCGCGTGTCTCTATGCATATATGTTGAACTTCTTTCGCGCAGTACGTAGCTGACCGTGCTCATCGGAGGTGTGGGGAAACTAAACACAATAAGCAGCTTCATCTGACCTGCTGCGGCCTTCTGCGGAACTTCCAGGGACACGGGGTCGTACGCGATTGTTGGAGGTTCTTCGGTGCTCCTATGGGAACCGCTCTGTAATGATGTGTAACTCTCACGTGACGCCGTTGATGTAATGGTGGCGAATCACTTGCGCGACGCGTTCGGTAGCCATCCACATGTAGCGGGCGACTGCTGTTACCGGAGCTGCTCCGACACTGTTGGCTGCTGTGTCATCTCGTACGTGAATTTAAATTATTAAGTTAAGCTGGTTCGAGAGTAATTTGTCCTATTTATTTTACGTGCATGTGCGTACGTTGGTTTTTGGCACAACCACTGATGCGATGTCACTGTTACTTAGTGGCAAATATCAGCTGTTGCGTGTGCTCACGTGTGCGTATTTTGGATACCTTCATTATTATAGAAAAAAATACGTAAATAACATTCTCCGATTTCACAAGTTACACTCCTCCTTACATTCTTTCCAACAAAACTGTAGCCATGATTGAAACATGTACCATGATGTTATCTCTTTCAATTTGAGTTACAAAAGAAACGGTGCAACAAAAAAACCCCACAAGTGCCCTTGGAGTGAAAATTCAATCGAGTCCCTTTATGCACCCCCACGGGAGTCGTCCACACCCTGCGGACCCTCTCCCCCCCTCTCTCGCCGTTGACTCACCGCGCCGCATCATCAACAATTAATAGCGTATCACGTTGACCGCACGCAAATAATTTGTATGGACGGCGTGCAGTCATAATTTTTTTCCCTCTCGTCCGAAATTCAAAGTCCGGCTGGTCGCCTGCGCACGCGCGTGTGAGCGCTCATCACTCGACACACTTTCGTTTCCATTGCCCCGTTTGAATCGACGACTTCCCTGACGGTGATAATCAACGGTGAGCTTTGCCGACTCGCTCCTCCGAGGTCGAATACCTCCCCTCGTTGCATGGGAGGGCTGCCGTTTTGCGACGTTGGCTGCGCGAGCAAAGGTACCGGCGGCTGCCTGCGTTCAAAATTGCGTTGCTCACGCGCGTGTAATTTAAACGCCTTTCGGGGGCATTTAACCCAATAAAGGTAGATGTTCTCTTTGACTTAAGTACCGAAGTACGTATTATACAAAATGCAGCCAAAAAAGTTGCCACAATTCCCTTTGTTTGTCCAGGAAAACCTCAACGAGTCTTGACTGTCTCAGGACGGTCCTGCTGTATTGGGATTTTTGGTCAATTCCATTGTATAGAAGGAAATGGTAGAACCTGGGGAAAACCCACACACCTGGGGGGATAGCAGTGAAAGCTCAGCACGGATGGATTATGTTTGCTGTCCTAGAAACTCAACTAGATCTGCATAATATAAAACAAAAATGTAATGGAATCTTTCAAAGTGTGTGCAGATGTTCAAAAGTAGAGGTTCTTTTGTAGAACGCCCAAACTTAGGCATGCGCTTGTAACTATTTTAAAGATTCTCAGACAATCGTAGAAGACCTGACTTAAAATTAGTGTGTTTTATTGTAGCCAAACGCACTCAGAAGCAAACGGGAACATTTTCCAGACTGAGGTGCGCCTGTTTAAGAATGATGGAAGAGTAGCTGAGAGCAATGGCTGCCTAACTTTTCTGACCTTTGACCCCTGGCTTTTAACCCCCCCCCCCGCCCCGGGCTCTCTCTCTCCTCCTCCACAAGCCAGGCCACCGATTTGAAGACGTACCAGGGGTGAGGCGTCACCTTGTCAAGAAGAGTTCCAGGTCGTCGCGTGCTCACAAGGCTCACTCCAAACCGGGTCCCAAGAAGCTCTGTGACCGCCGGCCACACGAGGTGCTGCTCGTGCTGCTGCTAATGTTGCTATTGCTGCTAATGTTTCTATTGCTGTTAATGTTTCTATTGCTGCTGCTGTTAATGCTGCTATTTTTGCTGCTGATCTGCTATGTTGTGCTATATTTTTCTATGTTTCCACTGCTGTTGCTGCTACTGCTGCTTTTAGTGCTACTGATGATATTCCGTGTTCTGTTTTGGTGGTGTGTTCTGCTGTTGATGCTGTTGTTGTTGCTGCTGCTGTGCTGTGTTATGGTTTTCTGTGTTTCTGCTGCTGATGTTACCGTTTATGACGCTGCTGCTATTCTCTGTTCTGTTTTGGTGGTGTTCTGCTGCTGCTGCTGTTGCTATTGTTGTTTCAGCTGTTCCTCCTGCTGTTGATGCTGTTGTTGTTGCTGCTGCTGTGCTGTTTTATGGTTTTCTGTGTTTCTGCTGCTGATGTGGCTGTTGGTGGTTGCTGCTTCTACTTTGGTTACCGTTGATATGATGTTTCGTGTTGCGGTGTTCATGTGCTGCGGTTGCTCTGCTGTGTTGCTCTTGCCTCACCGTGTTGTGCTGATTGGTGTTGCGCGAGGTGTTTGGTTGTCCCTGCTGTTAGTATTCCGCAGCGTAATCGAATGCGTTTGCCATTTAACGTAAGGTCACGCAGGAAGCCGTGCCATTAGAAAATGTACGTCCGCCTGGTAAACTGCGAATTGCAACATCTCTTTGAACTTTTGAAATGCTACTTTGGTTCTCTAGTATATCTGAACAAACGAAATGCATCACGTAATTTTCGAAAACGAATCGAGCGTGTTTTACCAGAAAATTACACGTGCTCTCAGTTTTAAAGTAGACAGCACATCAACCAAGTTGTCAAGCAAACACTGCCTGTTGATTTTGTCCTACTCTGCCTGCGATCATTATGGCTACGACAAATTCACCCCAAATGCGCCGGATGTTGTTGAATCTCGGCGGCTGAGCAGGCTTGAGCCTGGTCGGTATTCCGATGGGTGACACCTGGGGCTTGCCTCGAGGTGTTGTAGGCTTCGGGCCGCAAGGTGAAAACCCAGCATGCACTCTCTTGCGTGCACGCTGGCTTTTCTCTCTCTAGGTTCTCTGGTTTACTCTCCCATGCCAAACACTTACCAATGACATTGGCCAAACATCTTAATGCGGGACCCTCCTGCAACACAGTCGGGGAGACCCTTTGAGGCTTTTCCACATAAATGGCATTATTTTTTCCCAATGGAGGAATGAATAACACTTGGACTGAGTGATGCAGTTTATCGCCGATCCATGCTGGCAACGTTCTGTAGAAGGCAATTAGTGTGTGCATGCAGTTGTTTCTGTTTTTAAAAAATTACATAGGCGAGCGGTATCTAATTTTCCACTTGCGTGTCCGGCCACTGCAAGACAGTGTTTCCTCTTGCACAGGCTTTGATTGGCTCCTAAGGGGTTTGAAACCGTGAAATTAAATAACGGGCGCACGGTTAGCCGACTAACAATCCAGCCCAGTCTGCCTTATGCATGCATAGCAACAGCATTACCAGGTGTTTTGATTAGCAGACCCGATTTATACATTTGTTGTTCCAGCTTATTTTAAAATCCTCTTTGGATTGATTTTCGCTTGATTATTAACATTTTTATTTCTGCTCTTTATCATTAATTTCATGGAAAATATCACTTTTGATAGCGACGTTTTTGTTGTTGTAAACACATTTGTTAATCGGACGCAGTAAGGCTCACACAGTGTTAGTCCACTGCGGAGAGAGCGAGAGGAAGCGGAGGAGGTGAGGGTTTACGGGCAGCGTTGCTGACATAGACTCGGTAAGAAATCGACGTTAATGAGAAGTACGCTGCAGTTACGGGGCCACCAGGGCTGGGGCTGAACGGGCATTGCCGCGAGTGGCGTTCTTGCTGGCGAATGCTGCTTCTATCTTTGTGCCGGGACCTTCGGCAGATGCCGTGTTAACCGTCGTCATCATGGTGGCTCTGCGTCTACTTTGGTTAACTTTACCCAGTCGCGGTCTTTTTCTCCGCGTTTCAAAATCTCATCTCCTGCTTTCTCGCTGTGGATTTGCTCTACAGGCCAGGTTGCGAGCGAAATATTATTCTTACTGCTCGGCGAAATGTTTATATTTCTGTGCTGTTAATTATATTTCCCTTCTTTGTGAAGTTATATTTTATAACTTAATCCTAAAAAAAAACTAATTATTTGTGCGTGTGCATGCCAAGATTTCTAGACGTATCTGTTTTAATGGTATGCTTCTCGTTTCCCTTTCTCTTTGGTTTTCCTTCACCAATGTCACCACCTCGTTTGCATCTGCTTTCCCTGGTACCTGCTGCGTGCTCACCTCTGACCCCTTGCCCTGGCTAGGCTGTGAGGCCGCAATACCTTTTGACTCGCTGTACATACTTTTTCTTCATGCCGAACTTGTGTGGCCTGGTTTCCCCCCCTCAATCTCTTCCTCTCTCTCTTCTCTTTTCCTCTCCCCTTTCTCCTCCTTTCACCATCCTACTCAGGTTTCTTTTGCATTGCATCTTTTTATTTTAACCTCTCATTTGTTAACGTGTTTATTGTTCCCTCTACTGAGTTATAAGCATAAAAGCCACACCATTTAATACAATAAAATCTTTGAGAAACGTTAGAATACTTGTTTTGTGAAGAGAAAAAAAAGACTGCCACTCAAACATATTACCTTGACCTATTTTCTTCGATTGTGCGGCCTATTAGCCGATGCAGGGTATTTTGTGACGGGCATCTGCTGCTGACTTACGCAAGATCGCAGAGTCGGCAAGTCATAATTTTTCACCTCGTCCCCGTGTATCACTCGATCGGTGCTTCTGGGAGAGTGTTGTTTCACATCCAGCCACGTGCCCTCTCCTGTAGAGAGAGCGGGCGGACGGGTGAACGGACGGTCGAGCGAGTGTAGGGCTCGCACCGCTGGTGGCGCGCACGGAGCCATGCTGCTCTTTGCTGCTTCACGATGGTACGTGCCGGGCCCCGCCCCCGGACGCGTGCAGGTGTTTGTGGAGCTCAACGAGCTGGTGATGGACCCGGCTCGCCAGGAGCTGCAGTGGAAGGAGACGGCGCGCTGGATCAAGTTTGAGGAGGACGTGGAGGCCGAGACGGACCGCTGGGGCAAGCCGCACGTGGCGTCGCTCACCTTCCGCTCGCTGCTCGAGCTGCGCAAAGCCATCGCGCACGGTAACGTCGTCTCTGCATCGTCGCTGCGCTGATGCGATTGTGGAATTGTGAGGTGGGGCGGAGGGAGGGAGGTGATAATGCTGTGTCGAAACACTTTCTTTCGTACGGCACTTTAAAAGCAACTGGTGAGTTTTATAAAAGTGTAAGTCGAGTGGCGTCTGGGGTTGCCAGACAGATTCCATTTGAACCTCCTGCAAAAGCACATGTAGGACGATGATCCGTGATTGATTGCACTTCAGCGAAGTCACAATCAGGAGCCCAAACTGCTGAGTTTCTGGATTTGTTTTTGGGATTTATTTACTCTTAATTCAACATTTTTATTTGTTGAACTCGAACCTCGTTTTTGTTGTGCTATTTAACTTTTGTGTTTTAGTTTAAGCCACTTGTCTCAAGTGTAGTTGATCGTCTCAGCCTCTTGGTCAGGTATGACTGCACACATAGCTTATTACAGCTGTAAAAAAATGGGTTGATTGCCATGTAGTGAAGACGTTAGAGGCCATATAAAAAGCTTCCGCTCATATGGGTAAAGAGACATTGAATAGTGCAGAGAACACTCATTCATTCCTGCTTCGCAATCTGGTTCAAGATGATCATCTGCTTCCAGGCCTAGTTTCTGATGCAAGGTGGTGCACCACTATATGTGCGAGTTCTAAATGAAATGCGTTTCCTTTCTCGGCACCACGCCTGTAGCACAAATGGGAATAAAAATAAAATAAAACCCAAGAATGGTCCAAGCACAGTACGTGGCATCCGTCTGTTTGTATCGCCATATCGCTGTAACATCCTGCTCCCGTACGTCTCGCATTCTCGGCCGCGTAGGGACGGTGCTGCTGGACCTGGAGCAGAAGAGCCTCGCGGGCATCACGCACCAGGTGGTCGAGCAGATGATCATCTCGGACCAGATCACGGAGCAGGAGCGAGCGAGCGTTCTCCGCGCCCTGCTGCTCAGACACAGGTGCACGTCGCTAAGCAAACTGCACGACCGCTCGCTCGCTCGCACACAGGCAGCAGACACACAGGCACACAGGCACACAGGCAGCGGACACAGGTGGGGTAACAAAAGAGAAGAAGTGAGAGCAGTTCAAAGACAATACAATGTCTCGCCCGCAGACGGGCAAAACAAGTGCGGTAACAAATACAAGGGCTTCGTTTTTTATCGGTGTCATCGCCCGTGTGTGGGTCATAATCATTACTGTTTTATCATATTCATATTAAGAATATTTATTTATACCGGAGGAGTCCGATAAGCTATGAAGCTCTTATTCATAGATGTTCCGGTCAGAACGTTGCAATAACTTCGGATCGTTTCAGCAACATTCCCGACATCACTAACGGCTGCCCCTCTACTGAACACTTTGTTGAGCAATATTGTTTATTTTAGAAGATCTGGCCCTGGATTATTTTAAGTAGCTGAAGTGATATTGAGTAACTTGAGCATAGTTTTGGGGCGCAATGGTGCAATGGTTGGCGCACTGCAACATGAAAAGCAGTGCCCCGAGTTTGATTCCCAGCCACGGTGAATGTTGTAGAGGAGGGATATCTGAACCGGTCCTGGGCACCAACCTCTTTCCACCCACTCGCACTGACCGGTGTGGTAAAGTATGGTCAAACAACTCCCACAACCAATGCGGAGCGGGGGAGGCCTCCATCGATCAGATCAATGGATTGACATAAGATTAAACATGACTTTATCTTATTAACTCACTCGCTAAGCCATTCCCCTCTTGGGAAACGCACATCAAAACTCGGGAAACGCACATCAAAATCGCGGGCTTCATTTCAGGACGCGTGCGAAAGGAATAGAAATAGCAGCTAACTCTGGGAGCGCGCGCTCGTCGCGCTCTCCACAGGCATCCGAACGACGCGAAGGAGACAACCTCCTCCTTCCTGCACCGCAACCTCTCGGCGGCGAGCCTCAGCTCGCTGCTGTCGGGCACCTCGGCCACCAGCGCCCACGGGGGACAGAACCACGCGGGGGGCGAGCCGTCCGTCACCCAGCCCCTCGTGGGGGACGGCGCCATCGAGATGAGTGATCTGCAAGAGGTGGGTGCCTCGCACAAAGACAAAGATTTCCCCCCCCCCCCACACCATCACGTAGCCTACGGAGGCTGTTGGGGCAAGTGCTGTTAGCGAGCACTTATGAAGGATGGCATGGCACTCGTAGGGGAAGAGGGCCCAGCATTATGCTGGGCCGCATTTGTCTCCCCAGTGCTGATGTTGTTAAACACCGCACCAGGTACTCGTTTAAGGTGCACACAAACGTTCCTGGGTGTGTGTAAGCGCTCAGCAGGCATAGGCTTGAAGTCCCAGTCTTACCAATCTTTGCTATGAATGCAGCATCTCACCACTTGTTTGCATTGCTGGGACAGTCGCAAGTGAATGTACTTTGCTCTCATGTAATGTTATCGTTCAAGGTGAGTGTTCTGTTCTTTGTGCTCCATCTATGAGATACCTGGAGCCCCCTCTGAGTCAGACACTAAAGTGAAGTGGTGGCATTGACTCAGAGTTGTTTTATGTGTACAGTCATGTTTTAATTGATAAGGTCACAGTCGCTTGTTCTAATGCATCAATAAATCGGATGGCTCTTTCATCTAAGCCTTAAAGCAAGATGAAAAGTCCATGATATAGCTCATCACTTTGGTATAGAGGACATCAATAAACATGATTTAATAATCGATTGTCCTATAAGCTAAAATATGAACGTTGATTAAGGTGGCAGTGTACATACATAAATTTTATATTAAGGCGGCATGCATCAATGCCTGACTCATTAAATGCTAACACTGAAATCTGTTTTGTGTGATTTGTGTTTGCAGCAACTTCGTTACATTTGTAGTGACTCTGATTGTGACTGTGTGGTGCTGGGCTTACGAAGCCACGGTGGATAATGTGTTGCCATTATGTGTAGCCCGCTTACTGGGCGTAGCACCAGCCCTAGCGGGGCTTGGGTGAGCGCTGGTCAGCGTGGAGGCACCACGTACAGTGTGCGGTGTCAGCCAGCCAGGGTTACGTTGGGGCACGATTCGCTGGTTGACCTGCCGACACGTGACCGGATGATATTGGAGGGGGGCCAACGGTGGACGGGGGCCGCTGGGCGGTCACGTGGTATAAAAGAGCTCTCAGGAGCCTTGGGGGAAGAGCTCGAGAGATCTAGAAGGTGGGCGGGGCGAGGGGCGGAGCCAGCCCCAGCCCAGGCCGATATAACGGGGGGCGCCGTGTGGGGCTCGAGGTTCTTCGTGTTGCTGGTGATGAAGATCCACGATGGGTAAAAGAAGCCTCTAGCCACATAGTCCGGGACCCAGCTTGTGGTCCGGGCCGGGATAGCGAACCGTGTCTAGTTCTGCCGTAGCGTGGCTAGATGAGCATTCAACACCCAAGTGTAGGCTGTGTTGTGTTATGTTGAGTTACTGAATAAATAGTGTTGCTCCCAAGACAACGTCTGTGACTCAGTTGGACTCACTACACATTGACTGGCAAGATCATAGGCTGACATTGAACGCCTCTGTCTTAACATCTCTTATTTTTATTACGTCCATTTTTTCGGACAGCAGAAGGACAGTGCGTCAACGGGAAGCGACCCCCTATCCAGGAATAAGTCTCGGCCAGACCTCAAGCTTCTGGAGAAGATCCCACATGGCGCGGAGGCCACCATCGTCCTTGTGGGTGGGCATCAAAGCAGTCTGCTCAACCACGCTCTGTGCTCAACACGCTCCACTCACCTGCCCTTCCCATTGACCGACACTTGCCACTCGCCTACATCTTCCACTCACCTGTACGTTCTGCCAAAGTGTGACTCGGCCATTGTGCTAACAGGCATTTGACCAGAGAGGCCAGTCCTGGAGTTTGGCTACCACACACTGGGCCCAACTTAAATCTCAACTCCAGAACTGGCTTATGACACAAAATGCCTGGCCGCCCCAGTGGCCCAGTCCAGCCCTTTCGTATACCTGCGCAGGCTTCTCCAAAATCAACTGGCGTCAATGCGCCGGTGGCATTGTGTGTGTGTGTCTGCCGCTTGTGTTCGCAGGCTGCGTCGACTTCCTGCAGCAGCCGGCGATGGCGTTTGTGCGGCTGAGCGAGGGCGTGGTGCTTGAGTCCGTGCTAGAGGTGCCCGTGCCGGTGCGCTTCCTGTTCGTGCTGCTGGGCCCCCAGCAGGCCAGCGTGGACTACCATGAGATCGGGCGCTCCATCTCCACGCTCATGTCCGACAAGGTGCCCTGCCCAGCATGCCCATCCAGCCCTGTGCGAGCTGTCGGTTCGCGGCATCCCGTTAAGTGGCAAGAGTAGTGGATAGTGCGTTGTTAATCCATGTGTAGAAACCGGTTTGTCATTGTTACACGAGTTCTCTGCCTATGGGCAGTTTCTTGACGCAATTTCCCTCCATACTGGCTTAACTTAAACTTCATTTTAGCAGCTTTCTTTTCCATGGCCATCGATAGCCTCGCATAATTTTATGAATCAACACCTTCTTATTACTTGTTATTTTCCCACTTATGTACCCCACTCTGTTTCTCCTTATGGCTGCCCAACTGATTTTCTCCATTCAACCTCAGGTGCTCATCTCACACATTTCCAGTCTTCTAATGGCTATTTTTGGTACACTATCAAGGCATTTACGAATCACTTCAATGCCTTTGGCAATCCATCTCATCAGCGGGAGCTTTTAAATTAATGGCAATGAGACCCTATCCATCTATCTTTCCTTCTGGCCAACCTTACCTCCGACCCCACGATTCTGACTCGCGACCCCTTGCCTCCACCCCTGGGTAGGATTTCCATGAAGCAGCGTATCTGGCGGATGAGCGGCAGGACCTGCTGACCGCCATCACCGAGTTCCTGGACTGCAGCATCGTGCTGCCTCCGTCGGAGCTCACAGACGAGGGTTTGCTGCGCTCCGTTGCCGCCTTCCAGCGCGACATGCTGCAGAAGCGGCGCGAGGAGGATGGGCGGCGCCACCCGCGGGAAGAAGCGCCTGTCCAGAGCATTAGTGGTGCGCTTGTGGGTGGCGGGGGGGGGGCTGTATGTGTGTGGGATGTGCATGGTACATGTAGGAGATCCATGCGGCACACTCCTAAGACGTGCGGAATGCACCGTCGACTTGTGTAACGTGTGGGACATGCACGAAACGTGTCGAGCGTGTGGATCGTGCGAGGTGCGAGCGAGACGTGTGAAGCATGTGTAAATATAGCAGTGAAATAGGCTGGTGTGAGTGTTTGTGCCAGATAGATTTTTACAACCTCGGACCGTGGTGGCTTGGTCAGAATCCTTCATCCAGCAATTAGATTGATCACGGCTGATGATGCATTCATGGCGCTGCGTGCTATGCTTCTGAGGCAGGCATGACTGTCCGCGTGCTTGGTCAGTGATGGCAGTGCAGAGCAATTTGACTGATCGGAGCGGGATGGAGGGTGGTGGTGGCGGCGGTGGCGGGCACCATCCTCACCGGGATGTGGAGGACCCCTTGCAGCGGACGGGGCGGCCGTTTGGCGGGGTGGTTCGTGACGCGCGGCGTCGCTACCCCTTCTACCCAAACGACATCAAGGACGCCGTGGACCCACAGTGCCTTGCGGCCGTCATCTTCATCTATTTTGCTGCCCTCTCCCCTGCCATCACCTTTGGTGGACTGCTGGGTATGTAAGAATGAGAGGGTGTTAAGAGGTGTGTGTGGTCGGGGGGGGTAACACAGCAGTTGAGTAGTGGATGCGTAGTGTTGAGCAGAAGTGTAAACATCACCACTGGAAGGACAAAGTGGCTGGGCTTGTTGCTGGTCACCCACCCTAGTATGCAGTGCCATCCTTAAAGGGCACTTCCTAAGAGCACTTGCCCCAGCAGTCTGACTTGTTATTTGGGGAAATCTGTCTTTGTACATCTGTGTGTGGGCATGTGATTGGTTCGGTGTATTTTTGTGCCTGTGTGCCAGGCAGAGATCTCCCAAGTTAGCTTATCAGGTAGGGTGGCATCTGTGTGTGAACTGCCCTGTGACATAACCACATGGGTTCTGCAGGATTTTACAGGTGGTCTCCCTATTTAATAGGGACTGTAATGATTGTAATTACTACCTGGGCGGCTCCTCCCTCAGTGTCCCAGGAAAGATCCTGGCAAGGATTAATCAATATTTTTTTTCCAGACATGCTGAGGAAACATTTGTGGAACTCTTCCAGTGAGGTTTCAGGCCCTTAGGCATCTTCCACAGATGCCTTATTCTTTGTCCCACTGCTACAGCAGAGGTGTAGGGAATATCAATGGGATCGGCATTGCTGGTGTATTTGTAATGACTCTTGAACAACAGGAACGGTAGAGGTGTCTTTATTGATTATTTAGGGCCCTTCAGGTAGATAACTTGGTCAGGGATGACACGCAAGTGGCAACGACAGTTAACCCTGGTTTCATGGCAGCCCCGAACCTTGGCTCTTGTCTCTTTTTGTTGCTGGCCCGGCCGTCACTCTGCCCCCAGCCAATGCCCCCTTTCTCAAACTCTCTAATCTGTTCCTGAACTTCCCAGATGGTTCCCCCTCAGTAATTACCTCTCCTGACCATGCGCTGTTCCTGAACCTGCACTGTTCCTGCAATGTCTCTACATATGCAGAACCACCTTTGCATAAGTAGCCAACCTTGCTAATTGAAGGTGTGGTGGTAAGACAAACTAAACGGCACAGTTTTAAATAAATTACCATTTAATTTGGATTTTTAAGTACATAGCGCCAGTGGCTTTTTAATAACGGAAGGACGAGCATTCCAGATGGCTGCAGAAGCACATCCGATTGTGTGCAATTCCCTCCGTTTGTTTGGTGGCTAGCCAAAAGCTGCTGCGACAAATTCAAGTTGTGGTTTCTGCTCCTTGGCATGGTTAGCAAACTATGGTGGTTCATTTGTGGCAAGCACTTTCTAAAGGGACAGGTGCATTGACCTGGTGAAGGCGTGTGATACTAACAGGCCTGGCAGGGCTCTTGGTTGTGCTCTGCCAGCAAGCCTTTTCACACTTCACAGTACACAGTTTGGCACAAGCACCTTGGTGACATCACCAGCACTGAGTGGCAAATCATGGTTGTTTGTATAACTGTGGTTTATAGCGAGGACCACTCAACCCTAAATGGGTAGCTGGGTTTCTGTCTGTAAATATCACTCAGGAGACAAAGGCAGCCTGGCCTGGTGGTAGCCCCCCACTCTCTAGTGTGCTATGCTGGTCTTCAGTAGGTGCTCTTGAACAGCACTTGCCCGAGTCTGTTAAGGCGACACAGTGGGTCTGTCTTTCTACTCTGTGTGCATCTTGGGAATGTCTATTGTGGGTATTTTACAGTATCCAGATACACTCCATTAATGGCATTTGTCCTTAATACCAACAATTGATATTTAAACTTGTCCTATATTTTTGAGAATTTTATTTTATTATTTTTTATTTTTATGATTTTATTTTTAATTTCCCTTCTACGTGACTTTACCGAAAGAACCAAGAAGATGAATCCCTGCAGTCACGAAAGCTTTAAATAGAAATTTGTCCTATATTGCTCATCATTCACATTGTATGGTGTTAATCTACATCATTGCTGGGAGAACTCAAATGAACAATACAAATCCTACTACCCCCATGTACACCGTAAAGTCTATAGAGTTGTCTGGGCTAAAACGCATTACACAAGAGTATTGTGGTGGGAGCATTTTTATAAAAATGTCCACACCACCTGTGTTGGTTCCACCTTGGTGTACACATTTTTGAAAAGCAGATGAATGAGTTTGCCTCCATTCGAATGTAGCCTCAACCAAGAGCCTGTGTATGAATGCATGTGTGCATATGTACGAGGTGTGGCCACATGGGTGCCTTTTGGCATACTTTATTTAAAAAGGCAGTTTAACAATTTCCCCCCCCCCCCCCCCCCCCATAAACCTTAGCAAACCAAAGTGATAAAGTATTTCATATTATTGTAGCAGTTACAAAACTACCAGACCTCCTGTAGTGGCAGCTGCCTAGCCCCTCACCCTCTGATGGAGTCTTAATGCAATCGGTACACCATTTTCCTCGTCCCAACACAGGCGAGAAGACACAAGGGCTCATCGGCGTGTCGGAGCTCATCATCTCCACCTCCATCCAGAGCATCTTCTTCGCCCTGCTCAGTGCCCAGCCGCTGCTCATTGTGGGCTTCTCGGGACCCCTCCTCGTCTTCGAAGAGGCCTTTTTCTCCGTACGTCTACTCCCCGGGGAGGTGGCAGTGTCATTGCCATCTCCTCCCTCCACCCGGTCCTGGCATTTAATTGGTGTTGGGAACATGAAGGGAAATTGGAGGCAAATGCACAGGTTCTGCTTGCCACCTCTCACCTTTGATCCCCATCCCAACGGTGGGCATCGTGGTAATTCGTTGCCTTGTAAACTATCGTTTACTTGTTCCGTTCGTTAAAATATGGTTTGCAGGACATGGCCTGGACACATGCAAGGTTTTGGTGAATATGACCGATTTTGCTTTGGATGTGGTAAAACTTATCCTGATCAACAAAAAATCAAATCCTGAATCCCCTCCCTGTTCTCGCCACATAGTTCTGCTGGTCCCAGGATGTGGAGTACCTGACAGGGCGGCTGTGGATCGGCTTCTGGCTCATCATTATCGTGCTGCTCACGGTCGCCTTTGAGGGCAGCTTCCTCGTCCGCTACATCTCACGCTTCACGCAGGAGATCTTCTCCATCCTCATCTCCATCATCTTCATCTACGAGACATTCTACAAGCTCTTCAAGGTCAGTGTGCAGGGTCGTTGGCAGCTGCTCCCACCGCAACATCGCGCCGACAAAATAAGAAGAGGGAAAGAGCGGCAACTTTGATCAACTGTCACTGTACTGGGCAGGGTGTGGGCTTGTGACGGGGGCAGTGGGGGGGGAAGGACTAACTGGGAGACATCTGTGGCTATAATTTGGAGGTCATGCCTGGAACAACAAGTCGTGTAATAATGCATAAATAAAGTTTGAATTGATCCATATGCTCAGTACAGAAAGTCATGTGCCTTAAAAATCAGCTGTTCACTGCATGTTTGCACCGTACCCAGCCAACCGTACTAATCAGGTGCAGTCATGTGTATAGCTACTGGTCAGGCAGGAGGGGAAGACCTTTCATGGTCTGGTTAATAACTTTCAGCTCTTCCCAATCCACTGCTGGGTGGCCTGCTAGTACCCGTCATTAGGTTTTATTTTGGACACCCCTAAAACTCATTTGGCAATGAAGGCTCATTTTTTTAAACGATGACCTGGTTACATAAGCGACGCTAGCTACTGTAAACAAGCCAAAAAAACTGTACATGGTCAAGTTCCAAAATTCAAGACTTGAAGAATGCGCCATACAAAATTTTTTTAGTTTGCACATACGTGAAAAGAAATCCGAGGTCCAAAATGTAATTTTAGAGTGGGACAAGGATGGCAAGTCTGTTACCTTAAAACGTCGTCAGCCTCGGTTATTCCAGGGATTAGGGGCTACCACACGCAAGCAATTTAACAGTTTTGTTCTCCCATGGAGGACGGAACAGGAACAGCGAGGAGCTTCATCCTGTCCAGAAAACATTTTAGGGGAAGGAAGTATTTGTCCTACATTGTGCATTCTCCTCATCCGTTTTGCGTCCGCTTCCCACACACCCCTGAAACAGGTGTTCAAAGAGCATCCCCTGCTGAAGACTTACCCTATAGGAGCCGATAGTGGAGTGTGGGGCAATGTGAGCATGGTCAATGGTTCGGCGATGGCGGCAAGGAACGGCACCGATGCGCCCACCAAGATGCCAAGCCAGCCCAACACTGCGTTGCTGTCTTTGGTGCTAATGTCCGGCACATTCTTCATCGCTTTTTTCCTACGCAAACTCAAGAACAGCCGCTTCCTTGCCGGAAAGGTACGGGAGCAAGAAACGTGCGCATTAACGCGCAGCAAATGAACGCATTTCGAACCCACACATACAATATTAAGTTCCTCATGTGAGACGGCTTTTGTTTTGAGAAAGATGTTTTACTTTGTTTGCTTTTGTCACATTGGCAACTCAGGTAATGAAATCGCCCTAATCTGTCAAGTTAAAATAAACCTGAAACCATTTCATTTATTAGGTATAACCCTGTGAGCCATGCGGCTCTCGACTCGGGTGCAACCGCAACAAAACAAAAAACATGAACAAGAAACATCTTAAAGCGACTATACGCAACTAGAAAAATCCTGGAAAAAAGCACCGTATTTCAACGCTGTGTGCAAAAAAATCCCAGTGGAATGCAAGTCAAACAATTCCTACCACACCAATCTGAAAACATACAAAAACAGATAACTTACACACAAACATGCACATTGACACTTCCGCACATACGTGCCACACTGTCGGCGATAACCGACAGTGACCAAAGTTCTGCACCGGTGCTGCAGGTGCGGCGGGTGATCGGGGACTTTGGAGTACCCATCGCGATCCTCATCATGGTGCTGGTCAACTACGCCATCCCTGGCACCTACACGCAGGTTCAGCCGCCCTCCTCCCCACAATGCTTGGCCTTCTGCTCCTTGGGCTTGGCCCTACCCTCACTCCCATTGTCCTTGACCGCACCGTGGCCTCGACTCTGGTACAGATGGCCACCGATCCATAAAGTTCCCATTATTTCAATGCACCATCAAACTACGGTGTAGTGTAGGCCTTTACTCACAGCGTCAAACTTGGCAGCGGGCTGTAAAGTCGACTCTGCGCCCCTCAGGGTGCCGTTTTGCACCCAATATTTTCTGTATGTGATGCATTCCACAAGCCTTGTTGTGTTGGTTGTACCACGTTTGATGCACAACTTTCCCAGTCACAACTTTACCATGTATAGATGTTTTTGGATTGTCCATGTTATTTGCTTTAAGCAGGTTTATCGTGTTAACTTGGTCCTCATGGAAACATGAGAAATGTGTGTCCATGGCTGCCTCTGGGAGTGCGGCTCCCTTCCACTCCAGACAGTTGGTGTCTCCAAGCCCTCTCTCCCCTCCGTTATGCTCTGAGCTCTCCTTTTATACACAGCCCCTGGCCATCCCTAGCCAATGGGAGAGCAGCTCCCCCCTAAACCATCGTTCCACCTGGCTGCCTACCTAATTGCACAAGTTTCCAGACCTTTGAAAAGCATAAATAAAAGTATAACCCGTAAAAACAAAGTTTTTCACTATAAATCCTTTATATGCGTGGCGGCTAGAGTCCTCTCGTCCTCTGGCTTGAGATGGCTGCCACCTATGGGTCAGATGATTGCATTGCACCGTTAAGCAATTGGTAATTAAATAAAATATTTTTGTCCTAAAAAGTGTAAAATTTTGGAAAAAAATTTTCACGAACATTAATTGTCACGCACAACGAGTCTGTGTGGAAAATGTCAGCTCGATTGGATCACGGGAAGTGGGTTAAAAAAACGACTGAAAGATTTGCACGGTCCTAAGCAAGCAAGCAAACTTTTTATAAAGGATTTAAAAACCAACGCAATTGTGAGCAAGAAATGCATCACCCTGCTGGGGAGATGAGTCATTCCCCCTCCACACGTGCAAGTCCTACAAATTGTCAACAAAGTGGTAATTCCACTTATTTGCGAGTGATCATCCACTTCACTTATACGTGCAAGTTAAGCTTATTATAGCCCAGTCACACTTAATTGGCTGCAGGAACGCATCTCGAACCAATGGGTGTTCTGACCACAAGACGATACTCAAGCATAGCAGTCGTCCCATTGTCAGCATGGTTAAAAGCCTGCCCTTGGAGTGGTAGCTGCACCATGTCACACTAAGCGTAAAACACTCCTATTTCTACTCATAACACATTGAATGCTTTGTTTTTTCATGGCCTCCTCTGGAGTTGTGGACCTTTGTCAAATGCCCCGTTTGTCCAGTCACTATTGTCTTGGCTGCATGCTCGATGGACGTGAGCAGCATAATTTGAAACGATTTTGAGAAACGTAGTTAATTTGTGTCAGAACAGTTTGCGCCGCAGCAGAAATCGTTTTGCAGCAACAGTCACGTTCTTCAGATGACCCAAAGTATTTAATATGAGCTAAATAAACAGGCTGGTCTGGAAGCCTTTGGAACATAGGGCTGCTGCCACTGTCAGATCGTATTTCCTATAGTGTTTGGTCTGGTAGCAGTTCAACATTACAAGTACGTCCTTATAATGGCTTGCCATGTTATGATGGCACTATAGAATATTTTTTTTTATTATTACATTGACATCAATACCGACACCACCCCAAATCTGATGCCGATGGCCACCACCCCGTTTTTACCGTTTGCGCGCGCAGAAGCTCGCGGTTCCAGACGGGTTCTCGGTGACGTCGCCCGACCAGCGCAGGTGGCTCGTGAATCCGCTGGGCATGCGATCGACCTTTCCCGTGTGGATGATGTTCGCGTGCGTGGTGCCAGCGGCGCTCGTCTTCATCCTCATCTTCATGGAGACGCAGATCACCACGTGAGTCCGCCCAAAAATAAATAAATAAAACTTATCACAGGAATCCAACCAAGCTGTGTGTGTACTCTATCCGGAAACTTCAGTTTCACAAACCAGCTAGACCTCCTTGACTGAATCAAGGTGCAGAGGATGCCTGGAATTTTGTAAAAGAATATGGCAAGCAACTTGTAAGTTCATTAAAAGGATGCTGCAAGAAAGCATTGTAGATGCATTCGGGAAGAGGTTGTTATGAATGGGACACGTGTGCAGGATGGAGGTGTGGGCAGCTTACCGAGACAGGCACTGGAATGGCATGCGTATGTTGGTGACAAAGAATGAACACGTAGGCTTTCGCGACCATATCATCCATAGGAGTTTTTTTGGGGTTAGATCGTGTAAATATATAAATGTGTCGTTAAACCCGCCACCACCCGACACAGCCAACTAGTAAGGGTTGTCACGTCAATGTTGTGGCTTGGATCTCCAACACACTGGTGTGGAATGAAGGAAGCAGTGGCGTGGTGTGGTTGCATCACTGACATTTAGCACGATCGCCTCCTTACTCTTTCAGCTGCAATGCTGATCCTAATTCCTGCTGTCACCGGTAATCCTAAACCTCAGTGCTGGGATAATTGCCAACTCTTAAGATACATTTTTTTTAACACTGTTTATTTTAACCTTGAAACTTGCAATGCTATTTTTTTGCTCCAGTGACCTTAGCTTCAACTCTAATTAATAATAATATTCTGATTGTGCCGAGAACATTAATCCACAGTGCATCGACTGTTGCTGCAGCCCCAATTTTATTTATAGGTCAAAAATAAATCGATAACAAATGGGAAGCAATTTATTTATCACCAGTTTTTTTTATTCAATAATACTGTCAGAAAACAATAACTCTGCTGCCATGCATTATGGACATCTATAAGATTCCACTGCGCCACCACTCCACCTATCCTATACATCTGTAAAATGCCTCCAAGGGTTGCACATCCAAGAACTGTGTTAGGAATTGCACATTTTTAAAAATAAAGTAAATAATGATGATGTTATTACCCGAGTTTTTAGCATCCCGGCTCCCGAGTTGTACTTGGTGAACTCGTTCCACTTCGGCAGCACAGAAGCCAAAAATTATCACTAATTTTAGTTAACTTTTCACACTGACAGAGGTTTTCCCTCCATGTGACAGGCAGGGGCAGGAGGAACACCCACACCGCTCCACTTGCGGCGGAAGGGGCAGTCCCCACACTCCCCCCACACGCGACTTTCTGTCCAGACAACGGTGTCACGAAACACCTCGATAATGCCATTACATTCCACCACATTTCACCACAATGTAAGCTTGCTATTCTGGCTATTATTATCGCTCAAGGCTAAGGTTTCATAGAAAGTTTCAGTTTGCCAGCAGGGGGCGTATTTTTTCAGTGTGGTTTTACCAAATTAAATTTTGGCAAATTTATTTGGAACGTGACACCAGCGTATGTGACCAAACTTTTTCTCGTATAACATCACGGGATCCGCAATGTCGACTGTGTGGCGGACGGCGCCTAGTTTTGGTAAATACCCCCCGCAGTATGAACCAGCGCGGGCGCTCGGCTCAAGCCACAAACATCTGTAACAAGTGGCGTGCCACTCACTGGCCAAATGGTGATCGTGAATGATCGTCGCTCGTACCTCCACCCCCCCCCCCCCACCCTCTTTGGACACCGCAGGCTGATCGTGAGCAAGAGCGAGCGTCGTCTCGTCAAGGGCTCGGGCTTCCACCTCGACCTACTGCTCATCGTGCTCATGGGCGGCGCGAGCGCGCTGTTCGGCGTGCCCTGGCTCACGGCTGCCACGGTGCGCTCCGTCACGCACGTCAACGCGCTCACCGTCATGAGCAAGGCGACGGCGCCCGGGGAAAAGCCGCGCATCGAGTGCGTCAAGGAGCAGCGTGCAACGGGGCTCCTGGTGGCTGTGCTCATCGGTGAGCAGTCACGTGGGCACGTGATCTACATTGCACACCTTTGATGAGGGGGGGGGGGTCTTCTTCATTGGAAGACTTAACCATCCATTTTGATGAGTTTCGTGCAGGGCTTGAGATGGGGAATGGTGATGATACTGATGCCTGCGAAATTAGTGGTGTCCTGGAAATACTTGGTAACCCACGACAGTTGTTTTCCCAGAAAGTAGCGCTTTGTTGAGAGTTGGCAGATTAATTAATGGAGCGAGTTCATTTTGCGGTCATCCGTGGGGTGGCGATCAGTGGTCCAAATGGGCCGGTCGACAACGGCACGCTGCTGCGGCACTTCTCGTAACACAAAACATGTTCACCGGGACACAAATCAGAATGTTTGAACCTCATGCAACGCTCGTAATATGGAAGATAAACCGCAGATAACATGAGCTGCGAGACAAATAGGGTTCAGACCAGGACACTCATAAAGTTTCAATTTTGACCACTCGTGACGATACACTACAGTACTATCAATCAAACATATGTTTGTTATGCTTTCCGACGAACCTAGAATGAGTTCTCTAAAAACACATCTGTGTTGTTGGATAATTATCGAATTTTTCCACGACAACCCCCCATTGACGACGAAATGGCCACGTGGCCGATTGTAACAACTGACGAGCCGTGGCTGGCGCCGCTGCCCCCCGCAGGCCTCTCGGTGGTGCTGGGGGAAGTGCTCAGGAGGATTCCGCTCGCCGTGCTCTTCGGGATCTTCCTCTACATGGGCGTTACGTCGGTCAATGGCATCCAGATGTACGACCGGCTGCTGCTCGCGTTCATGCCGGCGAAGCATCACCCGGACTCGGCCTACGCCTCCAAGGTCTGCGCGCTACTGAACTCCGAACTCAGACACCGAACTCAAACCCTGCTGCAACTCCCGAGTAATCGGACACTGAGGTCCAACCCTTTCCCACGGAATCAGAATGAAAACTAAACGAAAATAACTTTATCGGTATGTCTTCAAGTTAGAAAGGCGTATCGAGGCACCCACAAGGCCGTGCGGGAGAGCGTGTGGCACAGTTAGGCACCAGTTATCATAGAGTGCGGTCGTGCCGCTACAGTTCTTTCCTGCGAGTGCAATGTCTTTTAAAACAACGGCGCTCCGCTTTTCTCAATAAAATTAACGCAAACCGCTTGTGCGAAATTCGGTGTCGATCATCACCCTTCTAGCACTGTACCCTGCCCCAGTCCCCTTGGCACATGCGATGTCCTTTTATAGACTGTTAATGAAAATCCTATCCCCCACCCGAGCCGTAACTCTCTGCCTGAAACAATCAAGGTCAAGTCCTCCTCCATAATAACCAAACCCGCAGCTCTCAACCACGCGACTCGCGAACCCCTGACCCCCCCCCACCCCCTGACCACCGCCGCCTTTGTCGCCGCAGGTAAAGACGTGGCGCATGAACATGTACACGGCGATCCAGTTCGTGTGCCTCGCGCTGCTCTGGGTCGTCATGTCGACGGCCGCCTCCCTCGCCTTCCCCTTCGTGCTCATCCTCACCGTGCCTCTCCGCCACTTCCTGCTGCCGCGCATCTTCACGGCGCACGAGCTGCGCTGCGTGAGTGGTCCGCCGGCCGTCGCGCCGCCACGCGGGGACGAGAGGGTGGCACGGCGAGGTCGGGTCGTTGCACCTCGTGGGCGCTCGCCATCGCCGCAGTGTGGTTGCGTCGTGTCGTGCTCGTAATTCAGTGGCACAGGCGGTGGGGGTTTGTGCATCGCTTCTGAACTGGCCGACGAACTCGCTGGGCTAGTTCACGACTTGGCTTTCATTATGGTGCCAAGTGGACGTCTCAATTGTCGCGGTGCGCGCGTGCATGCTCCGACTGTTTGCGATTTCTCTCTCGCGCCCCCAGTTTCTCCCCACCACGTGTAAAAGTACTGAAGTCGGCCGTGCATCCCAAACAAGACGATGGTGACATAGTTTTGATGATCCGATGAGGCCGAGCAGAGTAATGAATTCAGTTAAAATATAACTTGCGCCATGCAAGAGATATGCGCTCATGATGCGTGCATGCATAGACAAGAGTGCGATGCACACAAAAAGACAAACGTCCCCTGTATAGCCTTAACAGCCTGATGGGGAGACCCAGGACCAGTTCAGACAATCTTACTGGTGTTGGCTGCGAGCGGAATTCGACCTCGCATTGTTGGGTTAGTAGTGTAGCGCTCCAACCACCATGCTACCGCTGCCTTCAGTGCACACATGGACACACGCTGATGTGAATGAGACGTGCATACAGGACCCTGCACAAAATACATTGTGAATGCTTGGTGAGGATAAACTCACAAAATTAAGATGATTATTTAATGTCTTGTAAGTAATTTACAGCTCTTTGTCAATCCATTGCTGGATGAAGGCCTCCCCCACAGCAGCTCAAGTCATGGAAGGGGGTGGTTATTTTACCATACTTCACCATTCTGGAGAGTTTGGGTTAGTTAATTGGGACCGATTTAGATTTAACTCCCCACTGATGAATTGAATGGAGGGCGGCGCCAGGCTTAATTGCGCAATACGGTAACCACGAGGTCACCACGGCTCTGGCGCACAGTACACGTTGCCACGTAAAGAGTTCAAATGGAGATGAGATGGGCTCACTGGCCGGTGCGTAAGCTCCTCTCCGTGACGTCCGTCCATGGTGCGGACAGGCGTAGTGGGTGATGCCGTTGTGTTTTGTTTTGGGGGGCAGCTGGACTCTGCCGACGCGGAGCCTCACGTGGACGAGGACGATTGGCAGGACGAGTACGCCGAGGTGCTCATGCCCGTGTGAGCAGCAGCAGCAGCAGCGGCGGCCGCCACCGTCGCTTCCACCTCGACCGCTGCTGCCGCCGACTGCTCCACCCAACGCCACTGGACGAAAGCACCGGGGCTTCCTCACTGCCGTCTCTGGGACACCAGCAGAATCAGCTGCTCGTTCGGCTTTCCGAGCGTGGAGAGAAGACAGGGCGAGCTCCTCTTGAGGAGCACGTGGACCAGAGAGGACGAGACGTGGAATGTTGCTGCTTGAGGGAGCGGACATAGAGAGCCGCTCTCGCCAGACCTATATATATATACACACACACAAGTCTGTATCTCGCTTTAATGAAGAGCTTTAAAAGAAGAAAGGTTTCAAAAAATATATCAGGAGCCAATCATTTGGTGCGTTGGGCGCTGAGCGTGCACGCAGTTTCAAGTGCTGGGCACGTTCAAGTGAGCGCGCGCCCATCGCCACAATGTGTGCACCCGGGCTCACGCGTTACTTTGTTGGTGCTCTTGACACTGCTGCTCGGCTTAATGCTCGCTCGTAGAATAGCAGTCGCGTGTCTCTTCAGAGACAAAGCTGTCATCGCAGGCATTTGCCCTCTGGTGGCGACCTTCGTTTGCCCGATGCTCTTAAGCTACATTTCAAAAAAACTTAACTGCGGTATTTGCACATTGCAGTTTCTTAAAACCAAAAAAAAAAATCAAACCTCGACTATCATGTTTTGCCCTTTAAAAGAAAGTATGGCTTTTAAAGAAAAAGTTACAACTATTTTATATCACTGGGGGAGTCAATCCCTGCTGTGGACCACGAACAGGGGCAGATTTGGACCATTTCAGATTTGGAACATTTCGGTGCAAAGATCGCTGCGTGCGGCATGCGTGCATCCTGTGTGTGGCAAATTTGTGCACGTGCACGCACGTTTTAAGTGATAGGTGGTGGGGTAGGGCTCCACTGTGCTTTGGAAAAGTGCTGTGTGAGCCGCCTTTGGTGAATGTGGACAGCTGTTACCGTCTAAGGGTGCTTGATGTGTTTGTGCCCAAGTATGCGTGCGTGTCGATATGATCTGCCTGCGTTGGTTAACTTTTTCGCGATACGTTTTTAATGAGGATAGCGGTAGAGAGATCCCCTTCCTGCCGAACTACGCGTCACAGGGTCAATTGGTACTCGGGAGCAAAGCATTCTGGCGCGACTTTGCACACTTTGCACTGTGCAGTCTTCGTGACAGACCACGGACGGTTGTGTAGCGAGTGTTTTGAGTGTGACCACGAAGTGGTTTGCGTGTAATAGGTGTACAAAATCGCGGTGTGCTCACTTTCGCAGCTCCATGTAAGATGGTGTTTTGTTCAACGTCGAACCGCTCGGCACTCTGGATCATCTCCGGCCGTGTCTCATCCGGCGATCCTCCGAGCGGCCGTAAAAATCGCACAACCGAGCGAGCAAAGCGAGCCGATTGGATGGTTGTTGCCGGCTTGGCAAGACTTGCTTTAAAAAATACACTTGGGCATTGTCCCACCCCCCTTGACACCACCCCCATCCCCACCGTCAGCAATAGCCGATGGCTTTCTAGGATTAGGAATTAGAAGTGGAGTGAGGAATCCCTTCTGTGCATGCGTGTAATATTCGAGGAATCTGGGTATGAGTGGCGCTACAGCTGTGTCTGCAACTCTCATTTCACACCCACCGTGCTGCTGCTGCTCTCTGGCTATTTTTTAGGGGGGGTTGGGGGCGTTGGTGCTGGGAAAAAAAAGTACTCTTATTTTGTTTATCCAAAAATATTATGGATGTCGGCAAACATTGGCAAAGCATTGCAGTACAATCATGTGTTTAGATGTTCGTAAGCTTCGTGATTTCTCAGAAGGAAGCCTGTTGATGTATGTGTATTATGCCCTGATGAGAATTTGACTTCAAAGCAAACATGTCTGTTTTTCGGGGGAAATTTGGTTTTCGATTGACACTGTAACCTATAACTGAAAAGAAAACCTAGGGCCTGATTTATATTATGCTGCTTGGTCAACTATTTTGTCACTGAGCTACCTTATTTCTTCTGTTTAGATTTTAAAATGTACGGTGACTGCTGCTTATAGCTTCAAAAAAGTCGAATGCAGGTTGCTTGTGACTTGGGACTTGACGGTGGGAATTAGCGTCTCACGTAACGAGACTGTGCTGATATTTAAGTTGAGTTGAGCTTCATGGGGATGAGGCTCGCCAGCATTGTATGCACCTATGTTGAACTTCTTTCGCACCGTACGTAGCCAACCGTGCAAATCGGAGGTGCGGGGGAAGGACAAGAAAGCATTGTGGCTGCTGTAGGAAGGCTTGGACGATCGCTGTAATAAAATATCAGAGGCTGTAACAGGTGACCGTCTATTGACACATTAAGCGGGGTGCTCAAAGTATTCTATTTATTTCCACGTCCTATCAGTAGGTGCATTCCTTTTTTTGTAAAATAGGTTTTAAGTTAAACTATACCAGTGCCAACAAGATGTTTTTTGTCAGTTAAACTGACTGCGTTCAGGGTTTCGATTGGATTGCGTGAATCCGCTGTCCTTTTTAAGCAAATGCGCGTTTAGCACGTGTAGTTGAAGGTTGTGGAAACATCGGTCGTCCAAGCCCGTGCCGTGCCCCGCGCAGTCGACAACTATGGATGTGTTCCGTCTCCCATGTTGGACGAGAACAAAGGAGCACAACGGGTCCATTGCTGGCCTGTGTCGGCCTGTGTCGGATCGCAATTGTTCCATGCAATCGTGTGAACCCATGGAGCCAAATCGGAGAGTGCCCGCGGGTATCACGACGGAATTATGGCAAGGACGTGCCTCAGTAGGCGTTGAAAATTTGAATCGGTGTCGGAGTGCGGACCGCGTGGACGAGGTCCCTCTTAAGACGGGGGTGGGGAACCTTTTCCTTACCGAGGGAGGGCCGAATTTGACTTTGAAAACAACTTTGGCCGGCAACTACACATTAACACGCACTTAAGAGCTATCCAAAAATAACACGTAAAATAAATGTGCGTGTCTACCGAGTAGAAAAAGGGCCGTTGCAGTGACAGACATGACTAGGCATTCTAAAATTAGAAACGAAGTGTTGCCAGCTCCAATATTCCCCTCTGGCACTTGATTAGTGCAGCTAAGGTGCTTGTGGCGCCTGATATCTCTCATTTGCAGACAATTCCGTGTAGCTGCAGACCGTATGAAATAAACCCGGGCGGTATCGTTCGCGCGGGCTGTCGGTTCCTCACCCCGCTCTCAGTCAAAGACTGGCTTGTGACGTATAAACTTTGAAAACCACTTTGTTGAAATGGCAGCGTTAACCATTAGCTTGTTTTGTCCAATAGGTGTTGATTATTTGAATGCTGGTTTTAAGGAAACAAATTATGTTTTGAATAATGATAGGAGAGGTGTAAACAAAACAGTGTACCTCTAAAAAAAATCTATACCACTTAAGACCAAGGCAGTTATACTTAAAATTAATAAATGATATTCAAGATGCACTAAATGAGGGTAAGATGAAGATGTATATATTTTTTGTAACCAAACATGGCAATTATGTTTGGATTGTAGGGGAGTAACGTTTCTTCATCGCCACCTCCAATTCCCCGTAGATTCTATGAATTGCCGCGATTTGGAATCGTGAATGTGTTCCACAATCCTCTCTTTCACTTTGCGGTGTATGCCGTGGCCTCTAATGGATGCAGGGATCAAGTGGAACTGCAGTACGTAAGAATATAATAAAGCAGAGATTATCACACACACGACTCGACGCATGTATTGTAAGCGTACATAATTATCTTAACCAATCAATCGGCGCATCGTTACACCTCTAGTTAATATTAGCAGTGGCTGTGATTGTGGGTGCGTAATGAACGGGTTAGAGCGAAGCCTGGTGACAGGTCTTATTCTCGTGTTGATGTTCTGGTGTTTCAAGAGTCCCTGTACGCTGTGCTGTAATTCACCGGGCTCAACATTGCGTTGTCATGTCAAGTATGAATGCACATGTTTAGCGCTGTTAAATTGTATATTCTTATACTGGTATGACCAAATAGGAAGAAAAAAAATGCACCCATTGCAATTCCAGTCCGGCTGCTGCTGTGTCAATGCGCGTGGGGCCAATTGTGCAGTTGTGATACCAGCTCAAGTTCACGGATGGTGCTGGGTGTTCTGCCGCATCGTTTTCGGTGTACATTGATGAGCTCTACACTGGCACGAGCTCAACATCACGTGGCTCTCAAGTAGAGTGGACTAATCCCGCCCAACTGTGGCGATTCAATGCATTGCCACGATTAAGTGGTGCAGTACGATTCAAGAATGTATTCATTTAACATTACGGTGAATGGTTAACACCTCCAGTGGCTGACCTCAGGGGTGACTTGACCCCTTTACACACGACATTTTAGGAATAAAAAAAAACCCATCGATTTCTTACACACCCGATTTCGATGTACACATCGCGAGCCCCAAGAGTCGATAAAGATCGGTGAATCGATGCATCAATCCACCCCTGCTCTGAAGCGGTTCAAATCATCTTGGCTTGCATGCACAGCGTGTATTTCTGGGACCAGTGGTCACAGTGCAAAGCTGTGTGGTGTGCACTAACTACAACTCATGGATGTACGTGACACACGTGTACTCGCGTCTTTCATAAGTTATTCATCAAAGATTGCTGGCTTCTCTGCAGTAATAATGCTCCGGATAAAAAAAAGACCCATACAATTGATGAGGCGTTTGGACAATGTTTCTGGGATTTTAATTAGCCAGACGTGCTGGTGTGTACGCCTGTGATACAGCGCTTTGGAGTTGGTGGCCAAGATCCGACGGTAACACATTTTAAAATGTATTTAAGTAGTGAGGACATTTCTAAGTCTCTGTAAGTAATGTCTCCTAATACTCCTTGAAAATCGAAACAATGTTCGGTTGCTGATTGTAAACGCCCTAACTCGTAACAATTGTGGTCAATAGGACTGGAATTGCGTTACGTTTGGTTCGTTGGTAGTGTTTTAACACCGGAATGAGCTGTGGTAGTTGAACACAAGGTGGCGATATTGGTGCAAGTTACCAGGGTGGCGCGCTGAAATAGTCTCGAATCGACACATTAAAACAATAATAATGCGGTGCAGATATTTGTCAGTCCAGTGCAGCGTGAAGACCTCTTCACGCCGTATTGTCACGAGGGTTGGTTTAGCCACAAATCATCACGATGGTCAACGCGGGTCGGTGAAGATGGGGCCCAGGAGCGGTTCAGATGTTAGCCGTGGCCTGGAATGGAACTCGGGAAGCAGATGTCCATGGCCACCCGTTTTCCCTTCACGCAAAGTCACCATTAGCCATAATCCACTGCTGGATGAAGGCCTCTCCAGGCTGCTGCGATCTCGCGAACCTATAGTGTAATCGTACACCTAGCACGTGCCCGTGAGCTGATGATAATCGCTCCATCTCCTCTGTTGACGAATTCACGATCACGTTCCATTCCGTGGGTGTCACGAACACAGTTTAAAAACAAACGTAGGCTGCCTCCCTGAAAACAAAAAAACAACTAATCATTGAAATTCTTTATGTAATACGTAGTTACGTGCAGAATGAAATCTACAACATTTGCTTCCAGACTGGTCGTGCCGCCTTTAATTTGGAAAAAAAAAAACAACGGACGCCGGTTTAGGCAACCTCGCTTTTCGAGCCAGAGGTCTGGCAAAGAGGCACTTCTCGTCCCATGATCTCATCATGAGGCCATGTGGACAAACCGTAGAAGAATAGAACGAACTATTGGCCGGTGAAAGTGGATGGCGGGGGCTGGGTGTGAGAACGGGAGACGCTCTTCACAAAGAGCTGTAGATTATTGTAATGACCTGCCCACAAGTAACTGCACACGCAAGATTCCATCTTAGGAAATTGCTTGGATAGGTTCTTATAGCAACGGGCCCTGGGTACACAGTCTGCAGTGGGGGGTGCCGGCTGGCTGCATTATACGGTGTGTACCTTTAGGGGCCACGGCGGTGAACGTTTAAAAAAATGTTTTTTTTGGCGCCGTGTCCGTGCTTGGGCTTGCAAGGACAAACCTCTACACAGTTCCGTGCCTCTTACGTATATAAGCGTGCACTATAATCCACACTATGTAAAGTATTTGAACATTTTGCGTCGAAAGTTGAGTGCCACCAACTCTCCACTGAAAAATAAACTGCCACTGGTGTTGAGCAGGGTCCAAAGCAAGAATTCGCCGATAAGCAAATCGCCCCGGAATGCGCCCGATGCTCATAACATCTAGGGAAGCGAAGCGGATTTCGGCGTGGATAGTGCTTCAATGGGTAACCACCGTGCAATAAATGTTGTTAGAGGCTCTGGGACTCCGTGGTGGGCAGCAGAGGACACTGCCGAAAAATACATTCTACAGGGTGGTGCAGATGTCTTGTGACCCCATTTTTGTATACCGATGGGCGTGAAAACAGAAGTGAATGAGCAAAGGAAAATAATGTTAGGAGTCGATTAATTGGGGGGGTCACAAGACATCAGGAGCATCTTGTACAGTGATTATTATACTCCGATGTGTCTGCTCCCCGCCTTCACTCACCCGCAGTGACTCGGCGGGACTGGTAAAGTAAAACTCACCCATAATGCAGTTTTTTGGGGGTTAGATAGCCTAAATATAAATGTGTCGTTAAATCCGCCACCACCCGACCCAGCCAATTGGTAAGGGTTGTCACGTAAACAGAACATGACAATTCGTCGCTAGTACAGCAACACCGGTTGTGTGTTGGAGAGCAAATCCACAACATTTTTCAATCCGAGTACGACGTTTCGCCAGTAATTACAACCGGAATCATCAGGCGGCAGCCGAATTTGACCTTACTAATTGGCTGTGTCGGGTGGTGGCGGGTTTAACGACATATATCTACGCAATTTAACCCAACAAAAAAACTGTCGAAAGCCTACGTGTTGAACTAAACTAAGTAAAACTCATATTTTTTTGCGCCATTCACACTAAACCTCGCGGTAACCCCCACGAGCCGCGTTGCCGTGGGGTGCAAAGGCCCCTCATTTAAGCAGCCGATCTACACATAACAGAGACGTACACGCACAATACATCCCACGGCGTTGTGCCTATTTGTGTAGGAATACAAATGGGCATGCTCCCCTTCCCGTGCATCCGTCATAGAACAGTTCAGGCTTATCTTTGGCTCGGCCGGCTTGTCTGAACAGCAGCAGCAACTACAACAACAACTACTACAACAAGAAGACGGAAGCTTGTGTTGCCTCCGAAACGTCGTGATTTTTATTTTACTTTCATTAATTTTAATTTCATTTTTTACCTACGTGACTTTACCGAAAAAACCTAAGAGTATGAATCCTTGCAGTCACGAAAGCTTCAAATCTGAAACTACAACAAGAGTTCGTCTCCACGACTACAATCCCAGCCTCGTGACTTTACAGCCAATTCTGGCTTGGCATCCCCCCCTCGCCGCCGCCTTCCCTTCAATCATTCCTCGCCTTGCGACAAGCTCCGTGTACCAAGACATTTCCCTCTTGGTTTCACACGCGTGTGCAGTTTAGCACGTGAAAAACAACAAATTGTGGTTGCTTTGTGTGCGCCCCCCCCCACCCTCCATTTTTTTTGCAAGGGTCATTGTAAAACGCTCTGTAAACACTTAATATGAATGGTCCCAAATCACAATAAACAAGTGGATATGCAGCATATAGTTTGTCACGCTCGTGATGGGTTTCCTGCCTTTGCGAAAATGCCGAGTGGCATTTTCAAAGGCTGTGCTCAAGTCATCATTATGAGCCATGGTCAATCCACTGTTGCATTATAAAGTCATCTCCCTGTGATTTCGTAATCCACCCAGAGCCTTCACACACAGCAGCATTCATAGCTCCGCGGTGTTTCCACGCCTCCTTCAACGCGTACTGCTCTATAGATGCCACCACCGAGGCAATCTTTCTTAGCCTTGACAACCATCGCTTATAGAAACGTGCCCTGCCCATTGCCACTTCGCTTTCCTCATCGAGTGATATCGCCAACTCGCTTATATTCTCTATGGGAACCTCATTTGCCAGTAAAAATATGATAATTGGTTTTTTACCCTTCTATCTGGCAACAAAATTGACACCTTTTTACAAGGAGTCATGTTTGCATAGACCGCAATACCTGCAGTCATAATACAAACAAAAGACACAACTCTGATAATGTGCACTGTCCTTGAAGTTGATTGGTCCACACCCGAGACAGCTTTCCTTAGAGCCTAGTCTCACATGGGTTGGACCAGATGACGCCAAAAGGCGCACAACTCAAAGACAATGCACCATCAGAGTATGAGAGCTCGGGGCAAGCATCTACACTATGGGAACCTCATTTGCTGCAGGTATTGCGGTCTATGCAAACATGACTCCTTGTAAAAAGCTGTCAGTTTTGTTGCCAGATAGAAGGGTAAAAAACCAATTATCGCTGATATTCTCTCATCCAGGTGTTCCTCATACGAAACTAGCCAGAGTAATGAAACACGACCTGTGTTTTGAAGTGTTTCAACGGAGAATTACTACGTGAATTACATTTGTCCACTGGAATGAATCGTTTATTCTTGCACTATAAGCTGGGTGATCTTTTCCCCAAACTATATTGTTTATCTTTATCTTATATTGTTTATTTTTAACAGGCACTTTCGTCGTGTGCTGTGATTTACGTGCCTTTTCCCCATCCCGATATGCTCCCGAACATAACTCTGGATTTGGATGGAATCTGCGCCGCGTGTAGCTTATTTCAAC